GAGGAGTACAATTTTTTTAATTATGTTTGTGGTTTTATCATTCTCTCCCTATCTTTCCCGCCCATCCTCCCTCACAACATATCCAGTTCATTTTCCACATAGTTTCTAGTGTATATCACTGTTGTGTTAATTCTTCCTTGTTCTACCTTCTATGTATTATCCCTTACACTCTCAAATACAAACTATATGGCTAGAGAAGTTTAGAATTTCTTCATGTGTCTATTGGCCATCCTTATTTCCTCTTCAGAGAAATTTCTCTTCAAGTCTTTAGTCTACTTATTTATAGGGCAGATGTTTCTTTGAGGATTTGTTGTTGGGGGATTTAATTTCTTGATAAATATCGATGCAAAAATTCTCAAAAAATTTTGGCCAAATGACTTCAACAATTCATCCAAAAATTCATACACCACAATCAAACAAGATTCATTTCAGGGATGCAAAGCTGGTTCAATATATGCAAATCAATTAATATAATTCATCGCATCAATAAGAGCAAGGATAAGATCCAAATGAGTAACCCAATAGATGCAGAAAAAGCATGTGACAAGATCCAACACCCCTTTATGATGAAAGCTCTGGAAAAAACTAGGAATCCATGGAACATTCCTCCCTATAATAAAGACTGTATATGACAAAACTACAGCCAGCATTATACTTAATGGAGAAAAGATAAAGCCTTTTCCTCTTAAATCAAGAATGACACAAAGATATCCACTCTCTCCATGACTCTTCAAATTAGTATTATAATGCCTACCTAGAACACTAATACAAGATGTAAATATAAAGGGGATCCAAATATGAAAAGATGAAGTAAAACACTCCCTCTTGCAGATGATATGATCTTGTATTTAAACAGCCCCATTAACTCCACTCCCAAGTTACTTGACCTAATGCAAAATATGAAAACGTAGTAAGGTATAAAATTAAACCTCAAAAATAAATGGATTTCTATATGTCAATAACGAGAAGAGTGCAGCTGAAATCAAGAAGGCAACTCCTTTTGTAATAGACCAACAAAATATAAAATAGGAGTTAATGAAAGAAGTGTAGGACCTCTATGATGAAAACTTTAAAAACCTGAAAAAGGAAATGAAAGCACAATTAAGGCAGTGGGAAAACCTCCTATGTTCCTGGAATGGGAGGATTTACGTCATGAAAAGGGCAATAGTGCCAAGGCTATCTATAAATATAACACAATACCCATCAATATCCTAACCTCATTCTTGAATTAAATAAAAGAAGCAATCTAACATTAATATGGAACAATAAAAGACCCCAAGTAGCAAAAACAGTCCTTAGCAGAACAAACGGTGCTGGAGGAATATCAATTCCAAATTTCAAACTACTTCAAAGCCATAGTGATCATAACAGCTTGGTATTGGCACAGGAACAAACCTGAGGATCAATGGAATAGAACTGAAGAACCAGAAATGAACCCACAGACCTATAATCACCTAATCTTCTATAAAAGAGCTAAAAAATAGAATAAAAGAAAGAAATCCCCTTCAATAAATGATGCTAGCAAAACTGGTTAAACACCTGCAGAAAACTAAAGATAGACCCTTATACATCACCCTGCACCAGAATCTACTTCAAGTGGATCAAAGACCTCAAAGTCAAAGCAGACACCCTAACAACATTACAGAAAGGAATAGCAGAAACTCTAGGCCTCCATGGCACAGACCAAAATTGCCTGAACAAAGACCCCAAAACACAACCCATCAAAGAAAGGATAAACTGCAGAGCTTCTGCATGGCAAAGGTCATAGCTAGCAAGACCAGTAGAAAGCCCATGGACTGGGAGAAGATCTTTACTAGCCATACAACATACAAGGGTCTCATATCTAAAATATAATTTGAACTCAAAAAACTAAATATCCCAACAACAAATTCTCAAAGAAACATCTGTCCGACAAATAAGTGGACAAAAAGAAACTTCTCTGAACAGAAAATAAGAATAGCCAATAGACATATGAAGAAATGCTCAACTTCTCCAGCCATAAAGAAATGTGAATCAAAATAAAATTGAGATTTTACCTCACCCCAGTTAGAATGGCTATAATCAGGAAATCTAGTAACAACAGATGCTGGAGGGGATGTGGACAAAATGGTACCCTACTGCATTGTTAGTGGGAGTGTAAACTTGCCCAACAATTTGGACAGCAGTATGGAGGTTCCACAAAACCCAGCAATTCCAACTTGGGGCATTTACCCAAATGATCACAAACAAGACCGTACTAAAGCTACCAGCACAGCTATGTATATTACAGTATTATTCCCCATAGCAAGATATGGAACCAACACAAATGCCCCTTTGTAGATGAATGGATCAAAAAATATGTTATATGTACAAAATTGAATTCTATGCCTCCAGCAGAAAGAATGACACTGTCCATGTTAAGAAATGGAAAGACTTGGGAAAAAATATGTTAAGTGAAGTAAGCCAGGCCTAAAGAAACATAGGTTCCATGGTTTCCCTTATCTGCAATAACTAGTATATGTCTAGGACAAGCAGAAAAGTTCAAATGCTATGTGCATATGACTATATAAGATGATGCTAAGCAAAATGAACCCCAAGATAGGGACACAGAGGCTTTACCTTTGTTGCTGTTGTTTTAAATGTACTTATAATGTGCTATGTGATTTTTTCATTTGTTTTTATGTCCTTCCCACAGGGTATAACCCGTGTCATCACTGTATTTGGTTCTGGTGCCCTACATCTTGTACAAACATTTTGGGAGGGGAAGGGAAATAACACAATACTGAAACAAGGAGACAGGTTGACCCATTGTAATAATGACATGTACAAAACACTATGTTGAAAACCAACTTTGCAACTTGATGGTGAGGGAGGAATTGGGAAGGTGGGGAGAAAAAGGATAGTAGGGGGAAAACAAAAAAGGAGTTAACAACGCTTGACAGGAAATGTTCTCATTACTTTACTAATGTTAATTTTAATCCCTCTGTACAGTATCTTTACAATAAAAAGATATATATTGAAAATATAGAAATATGACAAACCAACTCCACTTCTGAGCATATTTCCAATAGAACATGAACAAGGAAACATTAAAACTACTACCACAATCATGTTTATTGCAGCTTTATTTACCATAGCCAAAATATAGACTCATCCCAGATGCCTTATATACATACACAGTGGAAACCTTCCCATTAGAAAGAATGATGTTGAACCATTCATAAAGAAATGGAGGGGGCTGGAAAGGTGGTTCAATGGTAGAGTGCTTGCCTTGCATGCATGACTTCCTGGGTTTGATTACTCAGCACCACATATGCAAAAAAAAAAGCCAGGAGTGGCACTGTGGCTTAAGTGGTAGAGCACTACCCTTGAGCTGAAGAGCTGAGGGACAGTGCTCAGGCCGAGAGTTCAGAACCCACAACCAACAAAAATAAAGAAATAGAATTACTAGGAGATGATGTTAAGTTAAGTAAGCCAGACCCAGAGAAGCCCAGAATTCATGATTTCCTTCCTTCATGGGAAGCAGAATGTGTCCATAATTTTAGAAGTAAGCACTCTGGATTGCACCCAAGCAATAATGAATGAATTATCTGAAGTACAATAGAATCTATGAGGAGCACAAATAGTATAATTCCTTAGCACGATAAAGGCAAAGGCCAACAAAATGAGTACTAGGAATACCTGAGAAATGTGGGAGGCCAATGCAGAGGAATAGAAGCATGAACGTGGATATTGAGTAGAACACAGGCAAGAAAACATTGGATATGATATAGAGAAGGATTGGGTAGAAGGGATGAATCATATTGATGGATCATACAGATCCAGATGCTTTGTACATATAAATTGCTTTGTTAAATGGCAAAAATTCAAGACATAATCTACAATTAAGAAAAATGACGTTTGGAGTTGAGGGTGAGAGTGGTGGGTTAGAATGTTAAATGGGGTGACAAAAAGACACTTTGTTTTCATCAACTGCTCTGTTGAAGGACAACTCCTTTGTACAGTTATATAAAGAAAATAATCTTTTAAAATGTATTAAATTTACAGGTAGGAGTACATACAGTATGTATAATATGTATTATACATACTATATATTACATAGTAAAAAACATGTATATAACTAAATATATGAAACTATAGATAATACTTATATGCAACTATATATAAAATTATACATAAAGTCTATATAAATTTTCTGTTACATAGCATCATGTAATTCTAAAAATTAAATACCAGAAGAGAAAAATCCAATGAAGAAACAGACACTTTGAAACTAGAAATAGAGGCAGGAGGTTGTGGCATCAATGAACCTGCTGTGCCCATGGAGAGAGCCTGCAGGGTCTCAGCTGGGCCCGAGGGACCTGGACAACCAGACTGCTGGATGGTGAAGATATCTGTCTCTTAGTCTGGTCTACTATTCCTGCTGTGAGCAAGAGGAAGCTGCAGCCCACTCTAGCCACCCTCACTCTGACACCTTCAGCAGTAAACAAGATAAAACAGCTTCTTAAAGATAAGCCTGAACATGTAGGTGTGAAAGTTGGTGTCTGAACCAGGGCCTGTAATGATCTTTCTTATACTCAAGAATATACCAAGACAAGAGGAGAATCTGATGAAGAGGTTGTTCAAGATGGAATTCATCGACAAGAAAGCACAACTACCACTTTTAGGAACAGAAATGGACTACGTTGAAGACAAGTTATCCAGTGAGTTTGTCTTCAATAATCCAAACATCAAAGGAACTTGTAGCTGTGGAGAAAGTTTTAATATTTGAAACCTTTCTGGCTGTAAACTCCAGGAAACTTTTGGAAACCTTGAAAGTTGCTGAAGAAATCATGTGACTGTCCTGTGTCAGGTCTGTGATGTGTGGCTGCATTGTTGGGGAAATAAAGTGATGTAGAATCCATAAGATATGATATTTATACCCTCTGTAGTGGATAGAATTAAGAAACAAGTGCTTGCTGAATTATTTTTCTGTTCTGTATAGTAAAACACCTTGTCCTGCCTCAACTCTCTTAAATCCTTTATTTGAAATTAGTTTCATTAAAGTTGATTTTGCTAAATTAAAAAAATAGAAATAGAAAATCACAATAAAAAATGATATTCCATCATTTGGGCAATCAGAGCACCCATTAATTATTCATTAACCCAGAGAAAAATTACAGTTTTGAGAATGGCATATAAAAATAAAAGTTTGGTGATTCTTCAAGAAATTAAAACTATCTCTATTGGAGGCATATACCTGCAACCCTAGCTGAGCAAGAAGCTGACAGCTAAGGAGGCAAAGTCAAAGTGAGCTGCCACAGAAAAGTCCATGGCACATTTTATCTCTAGTCAACCAACAAGGAGCTAGAAGTGGAGGTGTGCCTCAAGTTGTAGAATATCAGCTTTGAGAAAAAAATACATACTCTTGTATGTAAGCCAATGTAAGCCAAAGTAAGCCAATACCCAGTGGCTCATTCATACCTACCTCAAACAAGTAAAAGTGAGTACAAGAAATTGGAGATATGAGAGAGGAAAAATGATGCATGATATGATATAAAAGTGGTTTTAATTAATACATTTCCTATTTTTACAATAAAAAAGTATTTAAAAATTTACTTAAATATGACTTTAAAAATGATTACTGAATAAAATATTTCTTCTCAAGGAAAAAAAAGTGGTTTTAAAAGAGTGAATGAATATGATCAAAGTGCAGGACGTGCAGTGCGGAACCACAACTTGAACCGAATACTTAGCACAAGCACCACATTGAATCAAAACAAGCATCAGCTAACATCAAAGCTGTAGGCTTAAGTCAGATCTCTCACATACTGATGTCAAACTGCCATGTTCTATTTATCTACAACAAAGACTTAGTCAATAAGTATTTCTATCTGTAGTCAATAGCATGCATAAAATTGTACTAACCAAGATCAAACTTCCTTTGTATCTGGGGATAGCAAAGAAATATCCATCAGCTGAAACCATGCTACTCAACGTTTCTATATTAGCACCTCAACAAAAGTATCAAATATATTTTGGGAAATTAAGAGAATGAAAATCAGTTAAACATGGGTAAATAGTGTGCAATACAAAAATAAGGTAAGCCAGACAGTATTGACACACACCTTTAGTCTTAACTGCTCATGAGGTTAAGACCTGAGGATCATGTTTTCAAGACAGCTTGGACAAGGATGTCTGTGAGATTCTAATGTCCATTTAACTACCAAAAGATGCCAGAAGAGGAGCTGTGGCTCCAGTGCTAAATCACTAGCCTTCAGCAAAAATGTTCAGGGACAGCAACGAGGCCCTGAGTTCCCCAGACCAGCAAGAGAGTAATATAAATGTACCAGTGACATAAAAACGAAGGACATGTATCTTCTATAGCACAGAAGAATGCAATTCTTATCCTAGAGTCTCTGGTCTCATTTGTGGACAGCAGCCTCTGACTATAGTTGTCATAGTAGCACTTAAAAAAGAGTGCCAGTGATCAAGACAATAACATTATCTTTTGCAACAGAAGTCAGATAGTGTGCTAGAATTTCTTGAAGTTCTGGGCAGTCATTTTTCTTTGCTTTTCTCTTTCTTTTCCTATACCCAGATATTACTGAAACTGTGTTACAGACAAAATTTCAAGAATATGTATGTGCACAAGTAAAGATGAACTCATCTTGAGCACATGAAATTCTCCCACAAGAAATCTTTCATAATGCAGAGCTGCCTGTTAACAGCTGAGTTGTGGAGCATATCTCACATGAAACAATGACATATGGCTTAATTTGGAACAGTAACTACATTTGCACACTAAGAATGAGTGTATGTGTGAGCTCCCCAAATGTACGGCATGAAATCAGTGCCTTGGCATTGTTCTTGAGCTTTTTGGCTCAAGGCTTGCACACTGTCACTTGAACCACAACTTCATTTCTAGCTTTTGGCTGGGAAATTGGAGATAAAAGTCTCACAGATTTGCCAGCCAGGGATGGTTTCACACCCGCATCCACACAAATGAGCCCCATGATTAGCTAGGATTGCAGGCATGAGCCACCATAAGAAATTTTATCAACATTTGCAACATTCAGGTATTACTACACAAAGTTCTCAGACTACTGGCCTAGGGGGTAAGGAAATGTAGTTGCAGCCATAATACAGATCCCATGACAGGGACTCAGGCTGATTGAACGTCACTTATTTAACATCACTTAATTTCCACAGAGAAAGCTCAAAGGGAGAAGATACAGGCATGCTGGAGTAAAGTGAAAAACTTACAGACCTGGAAAGGAGAAGCTACATGGAAGGAAATATAGAGTTCTTTCCTGCGAGAAGGCAGAAAATCACTCAACATTAGATGTAAGACAACATAATGAAACTGAGCTGCTCTTGATATAACGGTTATGGAAGTCACTCTAGAGGGAGGGAGATCATTGATGTGTGCACCCAGAAGTCCCTCACCCAGTGAACATCCTCAGAATAAAACAGTAAATGGAAACAGACTATTGAATTACTTACATTTTGTTGTCTTCTTGCCTGGAAGCATGGATGTTACTCTGATCTATTCCCAAAGTGTTCAGAGGGGAAAACCCAGTGATCATCACATCTCCATTCATGTGTGCTCGGTGCTTCATTGTAGAAAAGCAGCTAGTACCAGCCAAGGACCTGACAGGGAGAGGAAGATAAAAAATGAGGAGTGTGAAATCCAAAGGGCACATCCTTGAAGCATCTGCCTAGCAGAAATGCTGGCAGGAAGTGAGGCCCATAGTTTCACTTATCTATACTATAGCTCACCTCTAATCAAAGCCTCTGTGAATCCTCAGAAGTAATGTGTAAGACTATTCTCAGGGGCTCTGAATTTGTAGCCTTGCCTCAGGAAGAAAAATATGAGTTAGAAAACATGTTTGGAGATTTGCCTTCTTCCCCAGAGATGCTGTGATTTCATCCAAGACCACAGATAGTGAGGCCCCAGAGATGGAGTTATCTTGCTTAAAGTTTGTCCAAAGTCTGTGTCAAGTCCCATGAAAGTCATTTGGGATGATGCAAATGGATTGCATGAGATGATGCCCTGTCATGTGAATGGTGAAATAGCCAGAAAAAGTATATGCCTCTGAGTTGTCAACTAAAGTTATGAGATAACTGTACTTAGAGGGTTAATTCACACATACCATATACAGGCAAACATCTTCTCTTTGCAAATGATATCTCATAGTTTCAGGAACATAAAGATGCCAGCAGAAGACTTTATACCAACCCCAAAACACTGATGAAGAAAGATACCATTGTACCCACCTGTCTGCCACGGCCTCCAAAGATGTCTGAGGGAAATTCAACCTAAGGCATCAAAGTCCTCTGTCCATCTTGAAAGCCAGAGGATATAGAAACAAGAATCAGAGAAGAGAAGAGAACAGGAAGCACCTCTCATTTTTATAGAGGAGCATGAATATTGTTGAAATGCCTGATTTACAAAAAAACTCACAGATTCATTTCCCTTCAAAATTCCAATGTTGTCCCTCACAAAAAAAGTCTCTTAAAATTTATTTGGATTCACACAATGAAAGTACAAAAACAGGAGGAAAAAGCACAATACTGGAAATATGGTAAACATGATTTCAAACTATACTACACAACCACTGAAACAAAGTCACATTGACACTGGTATCAAAAATATCTGGAAACCAGTAAACATAATAAGTGATTCAGAACAATCCCACATAGCTATAGTCAACTGATTGTTGACAACATAGCCAATTACATATAGAGGACACAAGATTGCTTTGTAACGTATTTTGTTTGTAAAACTGCATTGTCTCTTGAAGAAGACTGGAAATAGTTCCCTGTCATTCCATCAGACTCCTGAACTTAAGAGCTTCAAACATGAAACTACAGATAGATGAATAAGGGAAACACTTGAAGCAACATAGGTAATGATTTTCTAAGTAGTACTGCAATAGCTTAAGATAGAGGAACAAAATTTGATGAATATGGCCTAGCCTGTGGCTGAGTTTTAGATTCTGGTTCCCTATCCAGCACACTAAAGAAATGAGCCAGGCCTGGAAGCTCATAACTATAGTGCAACGTGCTCTCATGGCTGAGATTGGGATCATAGTTCACACACAGACTAGGCACAATATTCTTGAGTCCCTCTTAATGAGGTGGGATGGTACATACTTTGTGATCACACTATTTGTGTGTGTGTGTGTGTGTGTGTGTGTGTGTGTGTGTGTAGATGTGAGTGTAAGGAGGAAGACTGAGAACACGAACAATGTTATTCCAGGCGAACCCAGACTAAAAACAATATCCTGACACTCTATGTAAATAGAAGAAGCTGGATATTGGGTCATATGTCTGTCATTCCATCTGTGGCACCAAACTTCAATAGAAAGACTGCAACCCATTCATGGGCAAATAGCAAAAACAATCAAAAATACTCAGTGTAAAGAAAGGCTGGAGATAGAGATCATTTTGCAGTAACTGCCTTTCATAGTCCTCATGAGGCAACAATGCTTGATAAGAAACGTAATCATTATCTTGCCCATGTAATGCAACCCCTCTGTATGGTGTTTTCACACTAAAAAATGGTAAAATCATTTTAAAGGCCTGCAGAGTATCTTGAAGTATAGTTAAATAAATGAAAATGTAACCAAAAAAAGGAGAAGTGTTGTTGATGTATATTATTTTTTATGTTTCTAAAAAGAGTACATTATACACAAACATGGAACCTCAAAATACTTTTAAAAAACTCTACGTTTTTAGTTTTAGTTTTTAAATTTAAATTATCTTTAAGTCTATACAGTGAAATTGCCTTTTAATAAAGCAGTTTACACATACTATATATAACTTCATAAATGTCACCCCTTTCAATGATTGACTCAATCTCCCCAATCCACCTCTTCCATCTTTATACTTTGGTGGATATATATTGGATGTGTGGCTGCATTTTCCTCTTCTCCTCTTCATTTGGCTGCCCCTTTCCAGTATTTGATCCTACCCTTTGGAGGGCCTGTTTCCTGGTGTTTAATTTTGCAGAAAGTTGGCTTTGCCTTTGTACCGAATTACATTATTTGAATTCTCCCATGAATCTACTGTATTTCAGCTAATATATCTGAATAAACTTGCATATCACCTAAGGTTTTACTATCTACCCTACATAAAAGAAAACATTCATCCTTCCTTTCTCTAGGTGCGACTTACATCACTTAATATACATTTTTTCCAGATTATTTCACCTCAGTACAAATGGTACATCATATAGTCCTATGAATGAACAAAAATCCATTGTATATATACACCATATTCTTGGTTCCTTTATCCATTGAAAGACAGTTGGGAAGATTCCAGACCTGGGTTTTTTATAGAGATATAGATATATAGATATGTATATATACATATATATGTATATAATTTTTAGCAATGCAGATATTTTCAAAATAGTCCTTTTCCCAATCTATACCCAATGTAGAATTATTCTTTTTATGTCTTCTACTTTTTTGAAAAACCAGTATTTTGGGAGGAGGTTCTGGAAAATTGCGGAGGAGTGGCTGGAGGGAAAATCCAGGAAAGGAGACAGATCTGAGCACTAGCAGGTAGCCTAGGCTGCGGTGGCAGTGGCCATAGTCACCATACCTACAACACAGAGAGTCTGGGACAAAGGTGCCAGACATAGCAGGTGAGCAGATTCTGCTCAACACCAGCAAGAACTGACAAGAAGCAGATATCTTCACCTGCAGATCGCAGACCAGAGACAACCCAGGAACCAAAACTCCACTGTGAGTAGAACCCTGACATCCTCACTCCTTCTCAGGATGCAGAGGAGGGAAGGCAGCCCCTCCCCACCCCACTACTGGAGACCTCCATCTTCGATACTAACAAAGGCCCAGCTGGGCAGCTACCTCCAATTCAGGTCTTGGAAGAAAACAAGAGTCATTTACCAGGTCACAGGAACCTGACCTGTCCTGCCAGGCTGAGCTCCACCCAAGGGAAAGTCACTCAGCCGAGGCAGAGAAGGCTCTGCCCCAGAGGAGTGACTTTCTTCACAGGGTAAACAGAGCAAGAGGCTGCCCCTCCTTAGAGCAGCCTACACAATCAATTGAAATTCAGTAAATGTAAACCCTGAGAATGACTCCAAGCTGGACTCTGTGATTGTCTCAGAAGCTAGCTCCTCAGGGAAAAGCTACTATTTGCTACAAGACCTTAACTCTACTCAGAACCTAGCCTCATCACAGCATCTCTAAACTAGAAACAGCTATCTCCCTCTTTGGGGATACTCAAAGCAGACCTGGCTCCCACTGAACTATCCTGGTGGGAGGATCACAAAATACTGGGTAAAGCAGAGCATATTTCGGCCTGCTCAAACAAACTGACTTAAGAAACCAATCAAGCCACAGGAAAATCAAACACCACAAGCAGACCAAAGACTCCACCAAGAGACTGGATATGGACACAAGGGAGATACAGGATCTTCCCATCCACCCCTCTCTCCCCCACAAAAAATATCAAAGAAATCTATTTTTGTACTTTTTTAATTTTTTTAAAAAACTGTTTTCTGTAAATCTTTTTTCCTCTTACAATTTTTATTTTAGATGTGTGTGTGTGTGTGTGTGTGTGTGTGTGTGTTTATCTCTACTGACTTTTTGGTCCTTCTTTTTTTTTCTTTCTCGCTTTTCATTTTTTCTTCTCTTTCATTCTTTTTTGCGTGACTTAATTGTGGTTCTGCTCAGCCTCAGATATACCCATAGTCGATTATTAGGCCTTATCCACCATTGTGTACACACTTAATCCAGAAATTTATTACAGAATTCAAAACCCCTTAGGCTTAAAATCCCTAATAGCAGTCTTATCTATTTATAACTATATGATTTTAAGAATTTTAATTTTTTAACTTTTTATGTCTCATTTCTATCCTTACCCTCCTCTCATCTTATCCCTGTTCTTCTCTAAATTTTACTGTTTCAAATTAGATAATTTTGGGCCTGGCTTACTTCACTCACTATAATTTTTTCCAAGTTTTTCCATTTCCTATAAATGGGGCAATGTCACTCTTTCTGATGGAGGCATAGCATTCCATTGTGTATATATACCACATTTTCTTGATCCATTCATCTACTGAGGGGCATCTGGGTTGGATCCATATATTAGCTATGGTAAATAATGCTGCAATAAACATAGTTGTGCTGGTAGCTTTAGTGTGGTCTTGTTTGTAAACATTTGGGTAAATGCCCAAAAGTAGGATTGCTGGATCATAGGGGAACTCTATGTGAAGTCTTTTGAGGAATCTCCATACTGCTTTCCAAAGTGGTTGAACAAGTTTACATTCCCACCAACAATGAAGTAAGGTTCCCTTCTGTCCACATCCCCTCCCGTATCTGTTGTTGTTAGAGTTCTTGATTTTTGCCGATCTAACTGGAATGAGTTGGTATCTCAATGTTGTTTTGATTTGCATTTCTTTTATAGCTAGGAATGTTGAGCATTTCTTCATGTGTCTATTGGCCATCCTTCTTTCTTCTTCAGAGAAGTTTCTCTTTAAGTCTTTCGCCCACTTATTTATTGGGCAGTTGTTTCTTTGAGGATTTGTTGTTGGGGGATTTAATTTTTTGAGTTCCAAGTATATTTTAGATATGAAACCCTTGTCGGTTGTATGGCTAGTGAAGATCTTCTCCCAGTCC